AAGCTGAGGTTTCCCTTCTGTGCTGGAGCAGAGCTGGCGCTCAGCACATGAGTCATGTCACTGGGTGAGTGACCAGCGCAAGGAAGGGAGAAGTTCTTTTGTTTGATAGTGATACAACACAGCAAAGCCCTCCCTGACTGTCAGAAGAAAAATGTTCTGTTTCCAACAGGTTTTACTACCAAACATGACAAAAATATAAATAAAAACATAATCACACGCTGGGTGCATAGGGAGAAACAACCACTGCAGCACTGGAGAGGGGCTTTTTGTGTTTCCACTGTTCTGCTAGTTATGACCAAAGTAATTTTGCTGCCCGAACTAGAGGCAGTGCCAACATGAGGTACACAGCGCCTGCGTCCAGCTGGGGTGGGTATCTGCTACCCCTGTCTTAACTCCTGTTGCCTCCTCCCAGCTGCTCCCAGGCTTCAGGTCTTCTGAGGAAGTTGCCCAGACCTCCTCAGAGCAGACCAGCACTGGGAGGAATCAAAAGTTGGAAAAATCATGGTGTTACATAGTCAGTGAGGGAAGTTGGCGGTGGGAGCTTATAATGGCAGCAAATCTTGCCTAAAACACTAGGCTAATTGAAAATTAACGAGGATGGCATTTGTGGGGTAAAAGAGAGCTCCGTGTCCTGTGTTTTGGGCCTGGATCTGCTGAGGACAGGGAAGCTGAGTTTTCAGTTCCCTTCCCACGCGGCATTGACCCCGCACCGCACACTTCTGCCCTGTGTAAGCGCAGCGGCAGCTCCCCATTCCCCTCATTTCTGTTGTTCGGCAGCACCTCTGGGACCACTGACACCAGCAGCTGATGCTCCAGCCCGGTGTCTCCAAGGCCATCTTCGGGGAGCGTACGCGCTAGCTACAGCTAACACACTGCTGGGTGAAGTACCTCACTCCAAGTGCACAGCACGGGAGACCCTCACACACATTTCTAATGGTCCCTGTGCTTCTTGCCCTTGGTCAGAGCATAGCTCTTCTCCTTTCCAGCTGGGATGGGGGATCTGGCCAGGTCTGAGAGCTGATAGACCAGTGCTTGGAGCAGGGTCTGGCACTGCCGTAGCCCCTGCAAGGACAGGCAGTGCCTGCTGGGTGCTGCCTGCCTCCCCCGGGAAGCGCAGCAGCCTGATGCTGCACCGCAACCGTCCCTGCCTGCCCGCTGCTGCGTTCATGAAACCTCCATAGTACAGGCAGGAGACTTCTCGCTCTGATCTTGCCTGATAATCACCTCATGTCCTGAAGAAGCAATGTCATTGTAATTCAGAGCACTAAAGGTAAAAGCGAGGCTCTTCCCAGTGCTCAGGCCATAAAAAGCTAGGTGAACCTGCTATTAGGCAGCCGACCTGGGAAGGAAAGATCCATGGCAGCAGAGACCAAAGCCATCCGGGTCCAAGTCTGTGCCAAGGGGGGCTTGCCTGACCCAGAGCTCACCTACTCCCCCACCTGCACGGACTGATTTAATAAAAGCCAATAGCTCTCCCTACAAATTTGTTTTGCTAAAGCCAGGTGGCATCCCCCTCCCTGCCCCTGGTCTGTTTGTCAAGCCTGTAGGACAGAGGGACGCTGCCTGGAGGTCTCCGACAGGGAGGGCACACCACCACCACCAGTATATGTAAGATGCACATGATTAACCACGCTTAAACGAACCAGGCTGTTGAGTAACAGAGTGTATTGCAGCAAATGCGCTTTAGCTGAAGGCAGGAACAGCTAAGCACGGAGCCTTGCTGCTTTTGTAAAAAGGACCT